AGCAAGCCACCAGGTTCAGGACTCAAACCACAGTCGGCCATGTGGGAATCCAGTGCCTTTAACCACCCCGCCACCTGCCGGCCCCCCCAGTGTGTTTTTTAAGCCACCATGTCTAGGACTCAAACCACATGGTCGGCCATGTGAGATCTGACTCTCTTACCACTGGCTATGGGGCCAGCGTGACCTTAAAGGATTTTTTAAGAATTATTTTATTTATTATTAATTTTTTATTTTTCAGGTTTTCGACTACTTGGGAGTCCAGCGACATAGCCATTACGCTAACTGCTGGTCCCTTTTCCAGTTTGACCAGACTGGAGGGTTGGAGGTAGATGGGTGGGAGTGAAAAAGCAAACTACTAGGTCCAGGACTTGAACCATTGGCCATGTGGGAGTCCAGCACCTTTAACCACCGTGCCACTGCTGGCCCCCATGGCCTTGAATTTTTAATGTGTACATTTTTCTGTATGCAGCAGTAAGGTTTTTAAGCAGGCGAGGGGAGAGTACACGACAGCATGGAGTCTGTATTCCAGAACAGTAACTCTGGTGCACACAGGAGAGCAGATAGGACAGCAAGGAGCTAAGAGGCAGGTCTAAGTTCTGAGCAGCTTCAAGAGTAGAGATCAGAGGTGCTGCTGTGACATGGACCTGGGTCCACACAGTGGCGTGGCCCTTAAAAATTCTTGGTTCCTGGGGCCAGTAGATGGAGCAGTGCTTAAGGCATTGGACTTCCACATGGCCAGTTGTGGTTTGAGTCCTGGACCTGGTGGCTTGCTTTCTCACTTTCTCTCTCTCTCTCTGTTGAACACACATGCCCTATAGCAAATTTAAATACAATACTAATAATAAATCAAATTAAATAAATTAAAAATAAAATTATTGGTTATTAACTAGAAGTTTCAAACTTGACTTTTTTTTTTCTTTTTTTTTTTTTTAGAATTATTTAACTTTAGGACCAGCAGATGGGATAGTGGTTACATCGCTGGACTCCCACATAGTCGACCGCGGTTCAAGTCCTGGACATGGTGTCTTAAACTCACACCGGGCACGTGTGCGTGCATGCCCAAGATCCCAAGAAGAGAATGGAGGAGAAGGGATTGCGGTGTGGTCATTCCCCCTAGGGGGTGATTTCTCGTTTTCTGTCTCTCTCTCTCTTTCTGGAGAGAGCACACACCCCATAGCAAAAAACTCTCAAAAAAAAAAAGATTTTATTCAACTTTATTTATTTATTTTAATTTGACCAGAGAAGAACAGAGCAAGCGAGAGAGAGAGAGAAAGTGAGAAAGCAAGCTGCCAGGTCCGGGACTTGAGCCACAGTTGACCATGTGGGAGTTCAGTGCCCTTAAACACCACGCCACCTACGGCTCCCAAATTTGAAATATTAATATTTTTTTAACACATGTTACAAGTTTAATCCTAAAAGCACAACGAGGATCCCATCAAAGAGTACATGGGGCCTCTTCTCACCCGGATGTGTTGGTGCTCAGCCGAGGTTTCTGTCCCACACCCAAATATCAGAACCATTAGCCATCAAGGTCGATGTCTTGAGCACAATATTCTGGTCTTGGCGATGCTTGCGTTTTCCCTTTAAGTAACCTCAGATTTTGCTTGTCAGTTTCCTAGAGGAAGTTCTGGCCTCTGGATTGCACAGCCGGAGCAGGGAGAGTACCCAAGCCACGTCGAGGTCGGTGAGCAGGAGATGAGCTGGTGTCTGCGAGGTGGGAGAAGGCACAGCTCCCATTCCAGCCCCGCCACCGGCTCTGCCCTGACCGGAGCCACCGGAGAGGAGCTCTGGGTTTTGGGGGGATGTTCTAACTCCTCTCCGGGGCGCCCTCTGACAACTGGACTGTTGGCACAGGGACTCCTAGAGAGGAGCAGAGGGTAAGTGTGAGCCCCACCACCCTCCTTGTGGTTTCTTTATCCAAATACTCTCTGTGTATCTGATAGCACAGTCACTCTGTTCCTGATGAATTTTGTTGGGGTCCCCCTTGGGAACAAGGTTCGCAGCACCTAGAGGGCTTTAAAAAGCAGTCCTGTGATGTACCCGCTGTGCTCCATTTCTGCCCTCTCCCTTGTCCCTTTCTCATTAACTACATTCCTGCACAATTCATTTCTGAAAACTCGCCGTGTCTCTTTAGAGAGCCATCCAAAAATTGTTAGCCCCTGCATTGCAATATTCTGTGGCACTGAGAATTCATATATGACTAAAATAAAAAATTCATTTTGTGAAAAGGTATTAGTGATTTGGTTTTATTTCTTTGGGATTCATTAATGGAAATTCATGAGATGAGACACTAGATACAAGGAAGGAGTTGCGTGTACCTGAAGGATATTAAAAGTATGTCAAGCAAATAATAAATTCCAGTGTCAATTTCCTCTCTCTTGAAAACAGTAGAAAGTGATAGTACCATTAATGCCAGGAAATTAAGGCATCCTCAAATCATCATAGCAAAAATACCATCATAGCAAAAATAATCCTTCCCTGGTTCTCTGAGAGTGTATGTATGTATTTTTAACTTTTCTGATTTATTATTATTATTAATATTCTCTAGTGTCAGACAGCCAAAGGTCAAGTCTCTGCTGCATTTATGTGGCTTTGGGAGTAGTATTTCATCTCCTATGACTGCTTCCTCATCTATAAATTGGGCATAATAATAGTACTTTCCTCATGGGATTATAAGGATTAAATGAGATGAGAAGGTACATTAAGATGCATAGGATATTCTCTAGTGCATAATGATCACCTCAAAAAATTCGACTATTAGTAAATAAGATCAATTTTTATCTTCGAGTTGAAGATACAGAATCACTGTACAAAATGACTTAAATCCTGTCGCCCCTTCCACTTCTCACCACCAGCTCAAGAAATGGAAGAACTGAAAGGTCAGTCTGTACATCTCTTTTTCTCCATTCTTCCCAGTCCTCAGCTATTGTTGCCTTTTTTTTTTTTTAAGATTAATTGTATTTATCTATTTATTTTTCATTTGCTATAGAGCACATGTGCTCACAAGGGAGAGACAGAGGGAGGGAAAGTGAAAAAGCAAGCTGCTAGGTCCAGGACTCCTATGGTGGTAGGCCATGCCGGCGGCCAGTGCCCTAACCACCACGCCCCCTGCTGGCCCCCAGCTGTCGTTTCTTTACATTCACTCGTGAAGCTCTAAGCCTTCTGTCTATATTATAACTTAAATCCAAGTTTTTTTTTTCTTTCTCCTTTTTTCTTTAATGAATCCCCTTGGATTCATTGTTTAAAATTTATCAATTTTTATAAATCTTGGGACAAGCCTGCATTTGGGGAGGCAGTGTTTTAAGTGCAGCATTATATGAACTATGTAAGATTTCAAAAAGTTCTTGGAAACTGGAATTAAAGTACAAATTCATCTTGGTGCAGAAAATTTGAAATCTATTGTTTCTTCATAATTCGTGTTTTCCATGAGCTTTTTCTTTTTTTTTTTTTGGAGAGATTTTCACTGTAGGGTGCGTGCGCTCGCCAGACAGACAGAGAGAGACATAGAGACAGAAAGCGAGAAATCACCCCCCAGGGGGGATGGTCACGCCGCAATCCCTTCTCCTCCATTCTCCTCTCGGGATCTTGGGCACGCACGCACACGCGCCCGGCGTGAGTTTTAAGCCACCGGGTCCGGGACACGAACCGCGGTCGACTACGTGGGAGTCCAGCGACATAGCCATTACGCTAACTGCTGGTTCCCCCTCCATGAGCTTTTTGAAGATCCTTTGTATGGTCAAATAAATGACAACCTCCCTCCTCCAGGCAGGTACACCTGTTCTTCCCTTCCTCGTGGCAAGACAACGCCTGAGAATAAGAAACGTATGTGAGAACGGACCATTCTTATGTCATTCTCCTTGCGCACCAGCTTCCACTGTGCCTATTCAACTAACAATTTCAAGAAGTCTAAGAAACAAGCCCTACCCCCACGTATTTGACACCCAAAGTTGGCATTTCCGTATTAAGAGTCAAAGACCCACATTGTTCTGTGAGATTTACAGAGCTTTTCTATTACTACTGGCCCTTTCTTTTTTTTCCCTTTAAAAACATTGTTTTAATCAAGATCTGCTCATGCTTTTAATAACCCTCTCCCCCATAGACTGAAATGCCCTGGTCAAACCGCCCATGTCCCAATTACCCTACAAAATCCAAGAATACTTCTTTTCGGACAGCTATTTGGATAACAGTTTCAGCCCAGTGAACTTGCAGGCAGCAACCCACAACTTTAGTTCTCTGATAGCCTCCTTTCTCCCTTACGTAGAGTTACTCATGAAATGCCTATAAAAGGGGGCTAGCAGCTGGCATGGTGGTTAAGGCACTGGATTCCCACCTGGTTGACGGCAGTTCAAGTCCTGGACCTGGCGACTTGCTTTCTCACTTTCCCTCTCTCTCTCTCTCTGACCAAACAAATAATAATAATAGATAAATAGATCTTTTCTTTTAATCCCTACTAAAGAATAAAGCTACCAGCAGTGTGTTTTCTTCTCCATGGATATAGCTGGGCGGTACTCCATTGTGAGTCGTCCCAGTATCTTACCGGCCCCACAGAGACGGGCCTGAGAGTCAGCGTCTGGCTCGTGTGTGTGGTAGTATCAAGCTCACCGAGGAGACAGTGCTATAAAAAATGTGTGAAGAAACCCGTAGGTTTTGACTGAGAAGTTTTAGTCAAGCACTGGCCTTCAGAAAACAGTGCCACTTAGATCCCAATCCAGGTGCCGTGAGGGTCGCCTGGTGAGAACTCGGCTGGGAGGACAGACCAGGGGAAGAGTAAGGCAAAGACGAGGAAGGGCAGGGCTGGATGACGGGGTGATGGGATGAAGCAGGACGGAAGTACGGGCTAATGAGAGAGAGAGGAGAGACGCCAGAGATTTATGTAACATCTTAAGGAGAAGACAGGCAGGGACGGTTCTGCAGCCCACATGCATCTGCTCTGGAGTCTGAAAATTACTCTGAAGGGTTTTTTATTTTTTATCAGCCCCTCGGCCTGATGTGTCACAAAGCTCTGGCTCCGGTCTCACGCAGGTCACAGGAGCCAGTACCTCCTGTGTACCCAGGGAGCGGGAAGCCCTCCAATATTTAGGAAGCACTCAAATATTTGTGGACCGAAGAAAGTTGCTGGGAAAAGGGAGCTGGGGGCAAGTCATGACAATCTTTTCGCCCATACACCAGAATCTATTTAGACCGGCCCGGTAAGCGAGCCCGCAAAAGCTCGTGCCGGCCGGCTCCTCCCCCTCGTGGGGTGTTGGCTTCCTCGCATGTGAAGATATCCTGGATTTCCCTTCTTTCTCCACCACTTTTAAACAGAGTAGGAAATCGAGCTGGTGGCAAGAGAGGATGGTCAGGGAAATGTGTGTGTGTCTGTCTGTCTGTGGATATGAAGTCTAAAGAGTCTGAAAGCCTGCATTCTCCTCCTTTTAGCCACTAACTCTTTGTGGACATGTGGGCAAGTCAGCTGACTCCCCACAGTTTCCTCATTTTCCCAGCAGG